GCCGGTTGTTTCTTCAGGGATCCCATGTCCTTTCGAGGGAGGGGAAGAAGTGATGGCTGAGCGAGACTGAATCGCGCCGATAGATCCTATTTTAAATCAGCATCATCTCCAAAGGGCGCAGCCCCTGGGAGCGCGGCGAGTGCCGGGGCTTGCGCTGACCGGGCCGAGCGGGGCTCAGCCTGGGGGAGATCCGACAGGGGCGAGCGGGAGCTGGGACAGCTCGGTGCCCTCAGCCCTTCTCCGTCCGAGAGGGAAGGCAGAGCCCCCGCCAGTGGCGGCGGGGACGCGCCGGGCCCGGCTCTCCGGGCAGCGGCAGCGGCGGCATCGCCCCGCAGAGCCCCCGGTGCCCGAGGGGAGCTGGCAACTTGTTGGCCCCGGCGGCGGCGGGGGCGGGCGGTGCTCTCCGACCGCCGCGGGGCCCCGCGGGAGAGGAGCCGGCGCTGCCGGGGACGGAGGGAGCGCCCACCGCGGGGCCGGGCACCGCCACCGCCCGCCGGGCACCGCCGGCTGCGGGGTCGCTCCGGACCGGGCCGGCCCGCCCGGTCCCTCAGCGCGCCCTGCGGCTTCCCCGGCCGAAGCCTACCGCCCCACTGCTCCTCCCTGTGCTTGGGGTTTTTCTCGGGGGGATGTATTTCTGATATCTGGGGTTGGGTGGGGAATTGCTGTCAACTCCAGGCGGAAGCGAATCGATTCGGACAAGATTACTTACTGTTCAAAATGAGGTTTCCAAATATGAGGACACTGAGCGTGCTTTACACTTTCCTATTTTCCTCGTGCTCTTCCCGAAATGCCTGGTCCTAATCGCAGGGACGCAGCTATTCCAGTTCTGATTTTCTGGGGCTTATTACATGTCAGAACTGTGAAAGTCCTCTGGACAATTTACAGACAGAACATCTGGTTCGTTAAAGCAAAGCTACTGGACTAAGACAAACAAACTTTGCTGCTGTACAAATTCACTTACCCAAACAATTTACATTCAAGCAAAGATTTTAGCCCGAAGAAAAACTTTTATTCATTTGTATTCAGGAGGTTTGGGAATTCCCAGGCATTTTAAAATAATTTTGCTCTAATAAAGTTATGTAGATATTACAAAATGTCTTTGTTCTCCTCTCAGATCATTATCGCTGCTATAATGGTTATTGACAACACTTTGTATTTTACAGAAGCGCAGTATCGTTTTCGGGCGTGGGCAGTGGGGTTTTTAAACAAACTTGTCAGATCCGTATTCATCTGGTCCAGCCTTAATGAAAGCCGCTGCTTCTTTGTTCTTCGCCGGGAGAAAGCGAAGTACTCGCCGCATTTCGATGGGTGCCGCGGGGCGCGGGGCAGGAGGAAGGCTGTGCCCTGGCACGGCGGCAGCACGGGCAGCGGTGCCGGGCGGTACCGGCCGCGGGCCGCCGCGTCCTCCGCGCCCGGGGCCGGCGGGCGCCTCCGCGGGGCTCCGCGGGCCGCCGGTGCCGGCGGGGGCTGCCCGGGCCCGGTGAGACTCCCCCAGCCCCGCACTGGCTCCGGGCCGCGGGCAGCGCTGCCCTGCAGCCGCCGGCTCCAAAGGCCCCGCTCGCCGGTGCCCGGCCCTGCCCGCGGGTCCGGGGGCGCTCGGCTGGCCAGGACCTGCAGGTCCCCGTCCTCTCCTCTGCCCCGCTCCGAGGGGAGGCGCCGGCAGAGCTGGGCCGGAGCTGGGCAGAGAGGAGAGAGGCCGGGGCCGTTCGGTCCCCGGGACTGACCCCCGGAGAGCAGCGAGCCGGTGCGAGCAGCGAGAGCAGCCGCACGGGCACCTCGGCGCACGCCGCTCCTGCCTTGTTTGCAGTGAGCAAGTGGCGAAACATCAACACGCTGCTCCGGAGAGAGCGAGGTTAAAGCCGGGCTAAAACACGCTGGCTTCTAAGAGGCAGCTGTTCTAAGTTTACTAAACTTCCTCACTGATCCTTCCTGGCCGTTCCCATAACCAGCAGTTAATTCCAGTGGTCCTTAATCGGCTCAGCCGCTGTCTCCACTTGGGCCGGGGGACGAAAGAGGTGTCTCGGGCAATTGGTGGAGTTTTGGTGGAGAGGAATGGTATGAGCAGTGAAAATATACACCAAAGAAGGGCAGTAAGCGGTGTCTAGTTGGGAAAGATAAAACATTCTTAGTTGGTGGAAAGTTCAGGAGTGATGGTTATCTAATTATGTGACTTATAAATAATTGGTGCCTTTTTTTTAAGACTGCCAGGAAAACGCAGCTTAGGGCTGAGTCTCGTGTGCTGAGTCTATGTGGATGGAGTCTGAACAGCCATCGATTTGATGCGCCGTGTTTGGAAATGCTACACTTCATAAAATTACGCGTTCTGGCTCTCTGGAATAGACTGTGACCCCCAAAGAAGCCGACGCACGTGAAGGCATCTGCACTTCCCTCTGTAAATTGTCTGATAGAAAGCTCAATAGATTTTATTTTCTTCCTTTAAAAAAATGTACATGGTTAACAACCAAATTATTCCACAACTTCCTGAGCGTTTTGGCACAGTTGTGAATGTGTAAGTGCAATGCACATGTCTGTGTGCACGAATATCTGCTGCCTTCCTCTCTCACACACACAGGAGAATTATTATTCCTAAGTGAACTGAGAAAGTTCCTCCAATGACTGTTTACGGAAAGTTTCACTTATTTCGTTCCCTCCCAGTCCCAGCTCAGCGCACTGGAGCGAGCCCATCACCCTCCGCTGCCGGCGCGTGTGGGCCGCCCTTTGCAGAGCCAGGTAAGCGCTGCTGGTTACACGGAGCTCCCCACGCAGAGGCCGGGGACAACCTCGCGTGTTTGTTTGTGCCGGTGACACCGTTCAGATGCTGAGGTGCCACCTGCCAGCATCCTCCACGTAGGCTGTGCTGCGGGAGGCAGAGCTCTGCCTGGGAACCTGTTCAAACACAAATGCCACCAGACGCACAAATCCACGCAGGCGTGCAGCGGGGCGCACCCGCGGGAGAAGGCTGCGCGCCCGCGGAGCCGCGCCGGGCCGAGGGGCTCGCACCCCGCCGGGCACCCGGCAGCGGGCAGGGCTCACATCTGCTCCCCGGGCTGGCTAAGGGTGACACAAAGGCAGCGAAAGACGAGCAGATTTAGAGGCAGGGAAGTGGAAGGAACAAAGTTCTTGCAAGTTGCAACCGCCCCAAAATTCGGGATTGGTCGCTGCAGCTCGTTCCTCGCGATGCCCCGCAGCCAGCAGCTGAGGAGGATCGGGATCGTGCCTGGCTTTGGAGAGGGCTCTCGCACATTTCAGAACAGCCTTTCCTTTACAGGACTGCAGTGACTACACGCGCCGTGTCATTTTAATTTTGCTGTAGTTTTCAGGGCTCTCTACCAGCGCCTGGTGGCAGAGTGACCTTCCCCGCACTCCGTGCGGCGAGCAGGAACAGAGGCGGCCAGGGCTCCGGGGTCTCTCGGCTGCCGAAGCTCCCGGCCGAGCATCCCAAAGTTTGTTTCAGTCTCTCTCTCTCTCCAGAGCTCGGAGGAATCCTCCATGTTGCGCAGCACGGGCCGGCTCGGCCGAGCAGCCCCTCAGCCCGGGGCTCGCCTCTGGCGGCTCCGCGCTCCATGCGGTCCTGCCGCAGCCATCGCCCCGCGGAGCCGGGAGCGCAGCCGGGCCGAGCGCACGGAGCGCCCCGGCCCCGCTCCCTGCCCCTGCCCCCGGCCGGCAGCATCCTTCGGGGGGTGGGGGGGCGTGAATTATTTAGGTTTTCTATGTCCTTCTTAAAGGGGGAGGAGGGAGAGAGAATGAACGAGCTATTAACCGCAGCCGAGCCCCGCTTCCCGAGGCTGTCTAACGTTTGTAAATACTTATGCTGCGGCTGGTCCCCTCCTCCCCAGTTAAGTTGTTTAGTATGTTGGTTATTTGTACCGAATCCCGGTCTGTGTAGTGTCTGATGTGTTGTCGTTGCAATGTGCAGCCAGGGTGACACTGATGGATGCGCCAATGGTGAGACGGACAGATGTTAGGGCGGATCTAGCGGCACGCACCGCCGCGGCGGCGAGCCCGCCCGCCCGCCCCGCCGGGGCTGCCCGCCGCCCGGCCCCGTCCTGCCGCACGGCTCACCCACGCTCGCACACTCACACACACAGGGCTTTTTGGGGAGGGGGGGCAACGTCTCGGTGTCGTCTCTTAAGCAGATCTGATCGCTCCTTCTGTGAGCAGATACTGTAACTGTGAGGAGCAACCAGCGAGTATCAATGAGACGGAACTGAGCGAGTTTGGCAGCAGAAGCGGCAATTGACAACTCACCATTTTCTTGTTTTCAAGAAATGTTTCGTTTTCCCCCAACAGTAGCAATTTCCCGGGGACTTTAGGCGACTGCGATTTTTTTTCATCCTAAAGATCAGCTTAAAAAAAAAATCAACTCATAACAATAACAATCCAAAAAAAAAAAAAAAATCCCAAACCTTCTCCACCCGTCATGTAAAGTGTTTGAATTTCCTGCAACTTGAAAGGGAAGCGAGAGCCCGAGAGCGGCACGGCGGCTTTATAGGATGTGAAGACGCAACAACATCTGCACTTAGTCAGGTATTTGGAATTATCCCAAATCTCGAAGAATGGGGGCGAGTGGAAATTTTTTTTTGATCTTAGCGTAAAAGTGAGCTCAGCCTTTTTTTTTTTTTTTTTAAATTCCTCCCCGTGAACTTTAAAAAAAAAAAAAAGCTACTGGTTTTTTTTTGTTTTTTTTCTTTCATTTTCTTTTTTTTTTTTTTTTTTTTTTTGGGGTTGTTCCCGCGTCTCCCTTCCGTGCCGGCGGTCCGGGCGCGGGCGGAGCGGGGCGGGAGCGGCCCGGGCCCCGCGCGCCCCCCGCCGCCCCGGCCCTCCCCGCGCCGCGCGGCCCCGCCGCCCAGGGATGCGCAATCAAACCCGCAGCGCATCGATCCGCCGGCGCTCGCCGAACTGAGCGCGGCGGCTCGGCAATGAACTTGGACCGAGAAAAAAAAAATTAAAAAAAAAAAAACAAAACTGAGAGAGAGAGAGAGAAGAAAAAAAAAAAAAAATCAACCCCCAAAACAGGGAAAACGAGGCAAAAGTGCTCCTTCCCGGAGAGCCGGGTGCGTGGGGCGCGGGCGCTGCCCGCTCCGCGCCGCTCTGGCCCCGCGGGGCGGGAGCAGCGGCTCCGCTGGCGGGGGCGCCGCCGATAGCGGCCGCCGGCCGGGGCGGCCCCGACACCGCCCGCCCGCAGGCGCGGAGCGGAGCGCGGCGGCCGCGGCGCCAGCCAGGTGGGAGCCGGCGGGCTGGATGTGCCGGCGGGCGGGCGGCGCGCCGGTGAGTGCGGCCGGGGCGGGCAGCGCTGCGGGGCGCGGCGGGCAGCCGGGGCCGCTGCCGCCGCTGTCACCGCGCGGGGCGGCCGGGATGGAGCGGCGGGCCGGGCCCTCCTCGCCGGGGGGGCGGGGAAGGGGGGATCCCGTGCCCCGGCGCGGCGGGAGGCGATGGCTGCGGGGAGCTCCGGCGGGGAACGGGTGCGCGCGGGGGCGGAAAGGGAAGGGCTGCGGCGGGGAGCGGGGCAGCGGCGCGGAGCCCGGCGGGCTGCCCTGCCTGTCCCTGCCCGGCCAGCCCTCCGCCGCCGCCGCGGGCGGCTCGGGAGACCGGCGCCGGCGGCGGGCGAAGTTGGGTGGCGGAGGGGGCGCGGCTCGGGGGTCGCCCCGGCCGGCGGGGCAGACCCCTGCCCGCCCCCGTGCCCGGTCCGGCGGGCGATGCGCGCTGAGTGAAGGCGCGGCCCGGGGCGGGCGGCGGCGGTGCCCCGCTCCCCCTCGGCGGAGCAGTTTGAGTGACACCGCGATCATCTCGTTTCCCTTCAAGCTTCGCCTGTTGCCGCCGCCGCCGCCGCCGCTCCAGCGCCGAGCCGGGAGTGGAGAGCGCAGGCTGAGGCTCCGCCGGCTCCGGCCAAGAGATCCCCTGTCTTTATGCCGTGATCTCCCAGCCCGGCCAGGCACCGGGGGCGCAGGGCGGGGTGGGGGGGACTGCGGGCTCTCCCCAGCCCTCCCGCCCGCACACCTCTTCGGGGGGCTTCCCCTCCTCCTTCCTCCGGGGCGATTTGTCAAACTTCCCCCCTCTTCTGCCAGCAGCAGCAGCAGCAGCAGCAGCAGGGCTGTCCTCTCCTCTGTGCCGCCTCCTCCTCCTCCGCCGCCGCCGCCTCCTCCTCCTACTCGGCATCGTGTATGCACAGCAACAAAAAATATATCCCCGACCCAGCCCTCGCGCCGAGGCTGGAGCAGCTCACCGGATCTCTGGGGCTGAGGCAACTCTTCCCACCCCCGCGCCCCGGCTGCCCCCCCCCGCCGGCGCCCGCAGCAGCCCAGCATGCCGAGGAGGAAGCAGCAAGCGCCCCGGCGCGCAGCAGGTACGAGAGCCGCTTCCCTTCCTTCCCTGCCTTCCCTTCCCTTCCCTTCCCTTCCCTCCGCGGCCGCTGCCTTCTCCTCTCGCTTCCCTCGGTCTCTTTCATAACCGGCTCCCAGCGGGCTCCGCCGCCGCTCCGCGCCCCGCTCCTGCCCCGCTGCCCGCCGCTGCCGGGGGCTCTGCCGAGCAGCTCCCGGGCTGGCGGCACAGCGCCGGGGCTGGGGGTTTTGGGGGGGATTTTATTTATTTTTTTATTTGGGGTGGGGGGCGCATGAAAGCCCGTTCCCCACTTTTGGTGCCCACTTTGATTTATTCCGAACTCTGCCATCGCCCGGCTCGGTTCTGGGGGTAACCCTGTGCGAGGGGCAGGCGGGTGTGTGCGGGCACACGCTGCTCGGGCTCGTATGGTCGGTGTCACTCCGGGGCTGGGGGAAGCAGGAGGCGAATTTTGGTTATTTCCAGCCCGTACTTTGGCACCTACTTTGCTTGTTTCCCTCGTAGTCTTCATTCTTCTACATCCCCTTCCCTCACACGTGAAAGCCAGGGAAAATATTATTTTTATTTAAGTCTTCTTTCCTATAAAAAAAAGAGAGAGAGGATATGTACAAAAATATGGCACGCTGTGAATGAAGTGGCAAGGACAAAGTGTTTTGGAGGCTCTGCAGTGTTAGTTGAAGATCCAAGCCCAGAACTGGTTCCTTTGCCCAACTTTTACCTTTTTCTCTTCTGCCCCTGTACTGCACTGGAGATGTCTCTGCCGGACAGACAGACCGTCCTAGTTGGTCACTTTCTTTGGTAGCATCTTCTGTTAATCCTATTGATTTCTTATTTATGAGTCCAGAGGAGAAGCTGCAAAGTAAACCAAAGGAGGAAAAAAAAAAAAAAAAGAAAAAGGGTCTGTGTATTGTCAAGTGACTGGTGAATGTTTCTGATAGTGCCTTTACAATTTCCACTGTTTTTTTTTTTTCTTCTTCTTCTTTTTAGAACTACTTTTCGAGGCTTTGTGCTGGTGAGGTTTTTTGTTTGTTTGGCTTGTTTTCCTTTTGCCAGAAATGTCAACTCCTGTTAAACTTAAGCAGTATTTTTTGGAAAAGCCAAATTGAAAAGAAAACAGTAGAAGAAAAGCCCCACATAATTTTACAGTAATCCTTAGTTGGGGATATGTGGGCTGGAAAAGGTTTCCTTGGCCTGTTGCCATCCTTGATTTGATGTCTGATTGATCGCCTGTCATCTGGCAGCCTTTGATCTATTCATTCCCGATAAACATCAATAAATCACTTGCCATGGTAACGCCAGACTCGGTGACGTCACACGGGGCCTGTCAACTCTGGTAGCGCAACTTGAGGGGCTCCGGGCCAGGGCTGCCGGGCCGGGCCGGGCCGGGCCGGGCCGGGCCTGCCGGGGACACCCACCCCGGGCCGGGCACAGCCGGGCCTGCCGGGGGACACCCAGAGCCGGGCACAGCCGGGGGACACCCACCCCGGGCCGGGCACAGCCGGGGGACACCAGCCCCGAGTTGTGCAGAGGCACCGGCAGCATCCCCGGCAGCGCGGCCCGGCTTGGGGCGGCTTGGAGCAGGTAGTCCTGCAGCCTGGGCTAGGCGCTTGTTGGAGCCCAGGCGTTCAGCAGCCTGGCAGTGCTCCACACTGCCTGACAACTTCTGCGGGGTGAGTTTAGTAAACAGCGAGGGGCTCGGGGAGTAACGCAAATTGTAAATAACAACGTGCGTGTTTCCTATCTTCCTTTCCTTTCTTCTCTTGGACATCCACATGCGTTCTGCCAGTACTTCTGAAATAGGGAAATAGACTTCCCAGCAGTCTTACCCCACATACAAACAGCTAGAAAGTTTGGAAAGTTTCTCAGTATGGTAGTGATAGCATCTAGCAAACAATATCGTAGCCAAATACTTCATGATAATAGTTTGCTTTTCTGGCCCGTGCCATCAAATAGCAGTTTTCTAGCAAAATGACAGAGGTGAACTTTTCCTGATACTTGAGAAATTCTGTTTAGTAATGTGAATGTAATTCTGCAAAATCTAGATTTTCCATGTGCTTTTCCATTTTTGTCTCTCCTGTAAACTGGGCTCTCTCTCCACAGACTGGAGGAGAATGTTTCTGCGCTAAACACACATCCTGAGGTATCCTTCTCTCCCTCCACCACTCTCTGTCTCTCCCTCCTTTCTCAAGTGAATCTTCCATGATATGCGATCTATCTTTCATATTTAGCAGAAGTGTAATCTCTTTAAACTTTTAGCTTTTTGATAGCCACATTAAACATTTAGTATTGTGTATAATTGCTTCCCACTGAGATGCTGCTTTTATTGGTCACATTGGAAATGTTACTTTTTCTAATAGCAGTAAAAGCAAAGGCTTTTTTTTTAACACCTTAAAAAACAGCTAAGAAATAACAGGTTAGTTAAGAAATATTCATTACAAAAACTTGACTGCAGGACTAATAGGAGATGGAAGAATGGTTTTGCTCTATCAAAATGACCCGTCAAAACGACTTTGTTTCATATTTGATTTAATTGTCTCTCTCCTGACAGGCACATTCATCAATAGCTTAATGGTCAATCAGAAGTTGGCAGAGTGAGTGCTTTCATTCTTTCCCATACACTAGCTTTGGCTTTACTTTATCAAAATGCCTCTGCCTAATGGATATGGGGGATGTAGAATGACTGAAGGGCTACTTATTTGACAAGAGTGAAAAAACAAGAACATTCATGCTGTTGATAAGTGCATGAAGATAAATAAGTGAGCTGTATGAGGTGTTTTATTTTAAAACAGAAGAAACTTACTTTTCCCCCCCCTCCCTTTTTGGCTTTAGAGCTGCAAGTTATAAGGTTCATGACTGCTTTTGTGGCATACTGAGAGTGATGACAAATTGATTGCTTGGTACTGAGAGAGAAAAAAAGGTGGTGGTGGGGGGAGAATTAAAGATGTCTGCTGATTGGTAACTCAGGAAATCCAGTCCCCAGCAACCTTGAGAATACTCGAGAATTTTTTTTCTCCAAACTGAAAGGTCCGCTCAGCCATAAAAAAAGAAAAGTTGTTTTGCCAGCTTCATTAGTGTTCACCTAATTAGCTGTAAACCTGATGGATTCCTGACAGCTTTAATGATTGGAGATGACAAGCTCCACGCAGTGTCATCCAGCAGAATTAGGTTTGCAGCTAGTTTGATGTAATCAAGTTGATATTACACAGTCCTGGTTGCCTTTAGTTGTGCATTAACTCAATTTTCTGCTGCAGGTGACAAATGGGCTTTGGTACCTGGATAATCATGTCATAGGAATTAGGACCCTTTTAATGGTCTGGAGTAGAATAACAACAACAAAGAACTCTCAGCAGCACAGAGCTCGCAGACATAACAGACAGGTGCACAAATTCTTTATGTCTAGCCCAAGTGTTAACACCACACTGTGGAAGACTAAAGCTGTCTCTGAGAATCAAGAATACGTAAAAATGATAATTTCACTTTGTTTGCCTTGAGACTCAGCTGAATATCATAGGTAAATTTGGGAAGGAGTCAGGGATTGCAATTTTATTCCTCACCTGTTCAAGCAAGAAGATAGTCAGAATTGCTGCTCCAAAGACTTCTGTCATGTAAGTCAGGAGGAAGAAGGTATTTACCAGTTAGAGGCTACTGTCTAGGGAAGCGAAGATACTGTATTAATAGAGGCCAGTCTTGTTCATGCAAACAGTAATTATCTATTCTTAAATTATAGCTTTCACTTGCAGCTTTTTTAGGAACCTATTTAAATGATCAAGAAAATGTACTTCCTACTGACAGAAATGAGTTAATACATATTTTGTGTACATACCTTGTGAGGAGGGATTGGGAACTAGTGGTTTCCTGGAATCACATTTAATTTACTTACTTATTTATTTATTTATTTAATAAAACAGTGAGAGCCAGACAACTGCGCTGAGTTTTCAATGCTCTGGGAAAAAACCAACCAAACAAACAAACCTGGGCCTATGGTATTTTTTTTTTTTGCATAGTATGTTTTAAATCCTAGAGATTTCTGTATGGTTTAGGCTCTTCCCAACTTCTGTGCTTACATCCAAAAGCTGCACCTGGTCAGCGTGAGCACCGAAATACACGGAATCGATGCTTGGGAGGTGCGGAGCACTTCCACTTTCCAGGGACTTGAGTGCTCGTGCCAGCCCTCGGCCCCTCCAGCGTGGGGCTGGGGGTGCAGCACAGCAAACAGATGCAAGATGGCACACAGGTTGTGCCGCCAGATTTCCAGGCAGCTCTGACTCCAGCAACTCGAACGCTCGCTTTAATTTATGGCAATTGCTTGCAACTACATACATACCCCAAAAGTAAATGTAGCGATAAAGTAGGCTACCTATAAAGGTACTTGCAGTGTCAGCCCTTGGTATGTTATTTGCCTCCAAACCTGCCACATATTTCTCTGTTGGGCAGAGATTCTTCCTAGCAGCAAGCTGACAAAATGATTAGTTATGGCTGTCCTCTGCTTTTTTTTTTTTTTTTTTTTTCCCCGGCAAAGTGTGAAGGAACAATGCAAAAAAAAAAAAAAAAGGGAAAAAAAAAAGAAAAAGGGGAGTAAATATAAAAAGGCTTGATAGATTCCCCTGAATATCTGCCTGGAAAACAGAATTTTCCAGAATCAGCTGCCATTTCTCCCATTAGCTTGACAGCTGTCAATTAGGGCTTCAGTGCTCTCCTGGGCCACAGTTTATTGCGTGCGGTTGATGTTGTCATTTTGTTCTCGGTTTTGCCTTGAGCACTATCATGAGCAGGAGTGAAATAGTCAATAACTGATGTATCAGCAGTTATTTCTTAAATTG